CCTGCAGCTTGAGCTTGTTGCCTACAGCCAAGCCAGGGTGGTTGCACTTCTGAGTTCTGGCCACAATGAGGCGCTGGTTGTCAGGGGTGTGGCCATGGAGCAAATCTTTCAGATCACTGTAGCTCTCTGGAGCTGATAGAAAACATAGACATACAATGCTTGGTACAGGGAGAATGGTCAGAATAAAACTAATCATGATATTTATCTTGCTACAGTCTCTATTTCAGATTAAAAATCAGAAGTAAACTCCATAACAAAAGACGTATTAAGAAACCGTCTTCATTGTTTAAAATCATGTGTGTATTTACCTGTAAATGTGTATGGGAGCTCTGCTTTAGCCGCCTCCTGCTGGCCCTTCATATCCTCTTTGCTCAGACTCTTCTTCGGTTCGGCACTAGTCTCTTCATCATCCTGTTCTCTCCCCTCATCCTCACTTTCTTGCTCAGAGTCCAGGTCCGAGTGGCCATCTTCTTCTTCGCTGCTGCCCTCCTCCTCCTCTCCCTCCTCTCCCTCCTCATCTTCACCTTCATCTTCATCTCCATCATCCTCCTGCTCCTCATCCTCCAAATCATCCTCCTCAGCGCTCTCTCCCTCTTCTTCAGCTTCTTCCCCATCTTCCCCAGACTGCTCTCCAATGTTCCATTTTCCATCCTAGGGATACAAAAGATCAATGAAATGACATACACTCTGTATTCAATAAAAATTAAAATTATTCCAGTACTCCAGTGAAAAACCCACAAACCCCACATGTTTTGTTGTCTCGTACCTGATAAGCCAGGGTCTTCTTGTCGTCTTTATCAAGGATGAAGCCGTCGTTGAGGTCATCAGCAGACAAGTGGCTCCGACTCTGCACACTGTCAACGACTTCTTCTCCCATCATCCTCCTCAGACGGTCAGCCTGAAGGAAGCAGAGCAAAAGAACTGTAGTATCACACACAGGATTAAAACTACTTATGTTTTATGAGATCATGACATGAAGATAAGTTCCTCTGTCAATGTACCTCTAGCTTCTGCAGCTTGTCCCTCTGCTCCCTGGCGAGCTCCTCCGGCGTTTTCATCTTCTCTGAGGGCTGAGCCTTCATCTCGAAGCCAAGCTCTCTGACCATCATGTCGTACGGGTCCAGCTGGAACCCACAGAGGAAGCAGGAGGAGAAAAGACATATTAGGCTCCGCCACTGATGAAAACACAGCAACATTCTGCTAATAGATTGGTGCGTCCCTACCTTGGGCTTCTCCTCCGGTTTGTCAGCTTGTTCTGCTTTGGGGGTATTTTTCACCATCAGTGCCTGGATGCTCTTCCAGTCCTGATCCAGCTTCTCGGTGAGCTCCTGCGCCTCCTCTCGCTGCACCCGCCGCTCCCGCTGAGAAAGAACCCAAAAGTTAATCACCTGGACGCATCACTACGATCAGTTAGTGGGGACCAAAATCCAGGAGATAAAAAAGCCTCCATCAACAGGAGTACGTTACCAGCTCACCTTCTCCTGCTTGGACTTTTGGATGAGCTCTTCAATGAGTTCTTGTCTGGATTTTGCCCTATGGCTTCCCTCCTCCTCATGCTGCTCCCCTGATGTTTTCTTTCGAAGAAGACCCCCTCCTCCAAAGTGAGCCGCTGTCAGCTCAGCTAGATGAGGAACAGAAATACTGTCACTATAATGCAACAGATCTATTATATGACTTAGAAAATCCTTCTCAATATTGGGAATAATTGTACACCCAACCAAAATGCCACCAGGTTTGCAAAAGTTAAGGTAAAAATATTGATATCTTTAAACCATGATAAGCGAATAAATCCAAAAGACATGAAAACAGAGGGCTTTACAAATGGAAGAAACAATCTGGAGTGGCCTCATCAACACACATCAAATTAAACATCTACATGCAAAAATGGATAATGCGACATTTAGATTTGAACAATTCTCACCTGACAGAAGCCCTTTCTCTTCTGTTTCATCATCGCTATTCACCATGTCATTGAATTTCTCCATTTCAGCCAATGACTGACCATAATGGGTCAGCTCTTCTTCTTCGTTCAGGTTGTACATATCCTTCTTATCATGGACACGCTGAGAGACAATGCAAAGTTTATAATACAAGCTGAGAACTGATCAAATATTTTAGTGACGGATCAAAATTAACAACCTAATCAGCTATAAACATTCCTATATGTTTGCTCTTATTTCATAATTTTTACCGAAGTTTGAGTATCAAATGATTCAAGGCTGAAGCCATAAAGTGAAGTCAATGCAGGGATAAACAGTGAATATTAAATCTGCTTTCATGTCAGGACTTGATGTCTGTTATGCATCATCGCACCACTGACCTGTCTTTCCATCGCAAACCTCTGCAGGATTTTGTCCTCTGGTGCAATCTTGTTGTCATACTCTCCAAGTCGTCTGTCAATGAATTTGCTGGACTTGTTCTTCAGTTTGTATTCCTTCAGGAGGGTCTCTTTTCTCTACAGATCAAACATTAACAACACTGCTTGTGATGCCTGTACAACCCGCCTGTCACACAAACCCACACTCACGCAAAGATCCAACATGATGCAAACACATTGATTAATTATCAGTTACAATTATATTGAGTGTAACAAGAATAACGTCAAGGCAACTGAGCTGATCAATCAAGACCTCAACACATCCCATATCTACATACAGTACGTACGCAGCCATAAAATCACACGTTGAATTATAGAGGTATTTAGTCGTGTGTGCAGATTCTTCCTGTCTCCTCACTTGAACCTGGTCATGGTTCTCTCTGTCCTTACAAAGCTGAGAGAAATCTCTCTCACAGCATGATTCTGTGAGCATGAGACTTCACAGCACAGATAGTGTTAATGAAGTGGTGAGCTGAGACCCATGGCTGCCAGATATAGTGCAACAGTAGAAGAGCTAATCTCTTGTTTTATTTTTCTCATTTCATCAGACTATATGATCTTTTTTATCTTATTCTACATTCCATTTTTCTTTTCTTTACTCTGCCATATTGCCCAGATCGGCCTCATGTCTATGGCTTGTGTAAGCAACTGCAGTTCCCTGAGTGTTTGGTCAAAACTGCCTGAGTTAGAAGAAATTCATTAAAATAAGGGCCACGTCAGCCATAAGTTGAGGACAAACAAAGCATCTATTTACTAAAAGTGATACACACTCAACAATTCAGCCTTTAAAAAAATACAATTGGTTGGCAGTTTTGTTCAATAGGACGCAATCAGCTCATAAACTAAGTATTAAGTACTTTAAATTCAATCACCAACCGCAGTCAATAAAGCTGATTCTATGGTCTTCACCTATTTAACTGGTGCAAAGTGCATAATTACCACATCAAATGATGAAGACTTGTTATGATTTAGATGTGTGAAACACTTTTTGTATGAAAATTTTGTTAAATCAAATTAAGGATTTAAATTCAGTTATTTGTGTAAGCCTTGATTTTTATGAAGAGCTTTAAACACATTAACAATGTTTTCCATTTAAAGATCTTGGAAAAGGTAAGTGACGGAAATGCTCTGGCTGTGAGATTGTTTGCAGAGGAGAGGCTGCGTCAAGTGGTGGAGGTTGGGAAGTACCAAGTATGACCTTTTCTCTTACCTTAGTAATGGCTTTGGATCGAGACACACCAGGCAGACCCACATCGTGCTTGGTTTTTCTCCCCAGAACATCAAATTTCTTCCTGTTAATCTTCACTTCAAACGGGTTGTTTTTTATCTCGGTGGAGGTTTTTGTCTTTCGAACCTTGTCAGCAAGGCTCCTCTTCTTAGGGACCTTCCCCATCTGTGGCAGAGCAGCGGACTGATGAGCCAACGTCACTAACATAACAATGTCATGGTACAATGTATAGTTTGTTGTTATTATGCAATGGCACATCTGTGTCAGGAGAGGGGACTCCTCTTCAGACAGATTGCTCAAGTGGGCTTTCATTCATCACGTTATCGACATTTTGGATTCAACTGTTGATAACCCTTAAAGCACTGCTTGTATATAATGTTTCTAGTATATACACTCAGTTGGGAGTTGAATAAAAACATCTAAATCAAACTAATACGGTCTAATAGTCAGTGGAAGTAAATAATGTTCAGCTTGTGATGACATTTTTCAGAGCTGCAGATTTTAGAGCTGCGTTACATAGATAAATGTTATTTTGATCACTCCAGAAACAAATCTCTGTATAATACACAAAGACTGAATACAAAGATGCTTCTTATTGGCTGATATATGAAAAGTAGAAGACAGATGTGAAGAAGTGCAACTAACCTACAGCTAACTTCCTTCACCACACAGACAACAGATTGTAAACAAGCTAACATTAGCTCACAGGCTGTGTTTACCTTCAGCAGCGATCGGGAGTCGACTTATTCAATCCAGAAATCAAACATGAGACTCTGAGGCTCTGTCTGAATTAACTTATTAGATTTTATATCGTTCACCATCCACGTTGAGTCTCTGAGTTACATTTCCAGCGTGCACAGCCTGAGGTCAAAGTTGAAAACCAAAAAAATCAGTCAACAACGACTTCCGGTGTGACGTTGCCTGCAGCGCCTCTAGCGGTCATCTTCGAAGATTACGCAGAAAATGATTTTTGACTCGTACCATAAATAAGATAAGATAAAAAATGTGTTTTATTAGCTACGTGTTGGACTGAAGCGATACAATTATTATTGTATAATCACCATTATTATTATTGTCATTAATTTGGTCTGTGCTGTGTATAATATGTATTTGTGTAATTATTTGTGTTTATTTGAAAAAAGGATTGAAATGTATTTAAAAGAAAGTACTAACATGCTGATTATACACCCTGATGATTCAGTATATAAGATAGGATAAGATAATCCTTTATTAGTCCCACAATGTGGAAATTTGCAACATTACAGCAAATTAAACTGAATGCTACCAAGTATTTCTAATCAATCTTGTTTCACTAATTTTAGAACGAGACTCAGACCAGGGAGTGGTTAAAGGGAATATTTTATTTTATTTTTTTCCATGTGCAGATATTAAAAACAACATGAAAAACAAAGTGCTTTACAACCATAATCAAAGTACAAGAACACAAATGTAGATACAAAAATAACTTGTACAATCTTAGAGATAAAATTTGTATAAAACCACACCAAGAGTGACTGAGATTTATTGACTGTCATCCAAGATCAAAATGTTAAAAAGTAGAGTAAAAAAAAAACCAAACTGACGAAGAGTCAGTGGAGCGGAGCACAGCTGCAGATAGGCTGTGAGGGGAGGAGGCTCAATCTCTGTATGACGTGTCCCGTGGATTTCGCCATGAAGGAGCAAAGCGGGGACGACGGCCTTTTCCTGGACAGAAGTCAAAGTCAGTCTTTGGTCGAGCTCTCCTCGGGCTCCTCTTCCTCTGTTTTCCCTGTAAACAAAAAAGAAACACTTCAAACATTATATCTGATGTCAGCTGATAAAACCTCAGTGTTGCATCATGTAGCATAACCACGTGAACATGGATGAGTTGCATRTKAGCAGTGAACTTACATAGTTGTCCCTTGCCGACCAGTCAGGGTAGAGCTGGTTGTGGATCTGCCTCAGCCTCGCAGACTCCTCATAATATTTCTCCTGCTCCTTTTTCGACAGCGCCCTCCACTGTGGACACACAACATGYCAGTTAACAGTGCACACAGCAACACACAACTACATGTAACTGCACAAACACAACATGAACAGATCCAGAGGTTTTAGAAGTGTTGTCTTAGACGCTGCATATGAGGTGAAGCTTGTGTGACACTGAGAGTCTCAAAGACACCTACCATCTGTCCAATGATGGTGTTGACGGCAGCACAGTCAGAGTTTCTGAGCCCAGCCAGAACTTTCAGCCTCTGCTCATTCCTGTACACCATGAAGGCGTTGGGCGGCTTCTTCACGTATGGCCTGTCATTCCCCCGCTGGTTCACACGCTTTCTCTTTCTGTGGGGAAACAGAAGAAAACAGATAGAGAGCATGAATTACCACTKTGTAAAACTGTGAGGAAACAAACATGTTAACTAGGACCTTGGTGCACAAGTCAATATAAATATATGAAATATAAGAACCAGACTTACTGTGGACTGCAGGCGTTCACTGGAGGAGGAACTGTGTCTCCCGGAGCCCCGTAAATCATCTTTCCCTCACTACAGAAACACAATCAGACACATTAGAGAACATAAAACAGTGGGGTTGAAGRTTAAAACAGAGGCTCATTGGTGTGTGTGTATGTGTGTGTGATACTTACAATAATCCAATAGGATACAGCCTCACCTCAAGGTGTTTAGTGACAGTCTGTGGCTGATTGACAACCTGGAGATGTGAAAACAGAAAATACAGGAGGTCAGACAAACTGCATCCTCTGTGTCATCAGTCAAAAACACAACTTGCACATATTTATACCAGGCCCTTGTATAACCACTGTCCTGGTCTTAACATTGTCAATGTGACTCAGTTAAAACATAAAGTGTTCCTTTTGGTTAGCGCTATTTATTTGCAGACACTCATGTTGTGAGAAGTAAGTCAAAAATATACAGAAACACAAAGTGACTCAGGTAGAATCGGAGCATCCTCCTAGAGAATGAAATCAAACATTTACCAAGTACTAACTTAACTCCACGTGTGGCACATAGAACAAATACAAGTTATTAAAGTTAAAGATAATCAGCTTCTAAACAATAATTCAAACATAAATAAGTTTTCACCTTGATAATGTGTAAAGCCCGCTAGCATATTAGACAATTAGCATATTAGCTCACTAAAACGTTAGCATATTAGCACATTAGCCCGCGAGCATTAGTCTTTATTTTTTTTCAATTTACATTGAACTAAATTTCTTAAATGAACTTTTAACCTGCAGAAGTGACTCTGATGGCTGCGACTTACTGCAACTTAATGAAAGATGAGGTCTGTGTGCCTGTGAGAGGATGTTGGCGGGGTCAGGGAGTTTTCTACCAAAGTAAATGTAGCTCCACTCACAGTAATGCGCTCTTTTAGCAGATGTAGCTGCAGCGAGCTGTAATCTCTGTGCTAAAGTACATTTCTGACACAGGTATTGATCCACTTGTTGTGAATCTGTCTCTAACCTGCGGTTAGGACCTTACCTGTGTCTGGCTGTGCACGGGGCCCGGCTGCAGGAAGCTCTGCTGCGCGTCCATCATGGGGGCGAGCAGGTCAGAGCGAAGTTCCTCCATGAGCTGCTCCAAGGTCAGACTTGTGCCCTCCAGGGTGGTGTATTCAACACTTCTCCTCTCCGGGGGGAAAGAACCGCCATCAAACGTGACGGCCTGAGGTGTAAGGTCGCTCCACACCCCACACAGCATCTCTGCAAACGCCCAGGTCGCGTCCAGCACATCGTCGGTCTCCATATTCTCCAGAACACTGTCAATCTGAGCGTTTGGATCCATGATATTCTGCAAAGTTGTTGAGATTGAAGTGAAGAAATGGAGATTTTCTCTGCAGAAGTTTCTCCGTGTTTCTCCTCGAGCTTCACAGGTGAAATGACCCAACCGTCGCTAAATGTCCCACTAGCGTTTGGATAGACTTTAGTTCTTTGTTCCTCTTATAATTTAAAACAAAACAAAACAGCAACCATCTATATTTTTTCAAACAGGATCATATATTATATTTGTATTATAACACCTATCAGGGCCCCCATCTCTTCTCTGGCCCCTGAAATACTCCTTATTCACTTAGTCACGAAATGTACTTTTACTGTCATAAGTAGTAGTCATATGAAGGATGGAAGTATACATATACATATATATATATATATATATATATATATATATATATATATTCCTCATGTATTTATGAGTAAAATGCCTTAAAAAAATACTACAAGATATACAACAAATAATTTAAATGAACACACCCACACATATATATATAAGATTGCATATTAACCCAATACTGATGTTTTTCCATTTTTTTCACAAGATAAATCTCCCACATTCAATACATAAACTCAATACAACCACAACACAGTGATGATAATGAAGTGTTTTTATTCATGGTTGTAAAAGAGACAGAAGCATCAGAAAAGAGAGGTGGAAGTTTTAAGTCTGCAGATGTTTAATGAGACATTTAAATTGGAAGAGCTGAGACAGAACACAAATCAGCATATCTGAGGGGTAAAATAAAATAAACTTGTGGTTTACTCAGATGAAAACTATGAATACAAGGACTTGAGTATAATCATCAGCACACTAGAGCTACATTTAAATAGAAATCAACTAAAAGGGGTCATTAGTCAGGACAGTTCACGCTCTAAACACTCTACACATGCAGTCCTTCAGGAGCTCTCAGCTTATATGTAGCTCTGTAGGTAAAACACCTGCAGTGAACTAACAATGATGTTTATAATCATCTCAGAGTAGGTGAAGTTTCCTGTTAGTGTTGTCGTTCACTTCACCAAGAGTTAGACTGACTGAGGACTAATCATTGGCTACCACAGGATGAATAAACAGGGTTAGGAAGCAACGCATGGAGCTGGCCTTGGTATTAATGCCCTGTAACCTCAAGCACAACTCAACTGCAGTCACACTAATGATTACACATCTGTGAGAAAAGAAAAAGGGGAACTGCTCCCCCAGTGCATGTTTACTGCAACTGGAAACAAACAGGTATTCAGTGGCTGTTTGTTCTGAGCTGAGCTGCACACAGGAAAGTCCAGTTCTGAAGTACGATTAATCATGCAGCTTGGTGACTTTGTCATTTATATGCTCCCCCACATCTGCATCTACCTCTACGATGGACTGGGACCATCTGTGCGATAGTGGTTTATGAACGAGCAGGTTCACGGTGCTCTCTCACAGCAAGTCATTATGGCTCATCTATTTTGTGAGGAAAAAGCGCAAGAGGTTTTAAAGAAAGAAAAACAAAGGATGTACTCGAGAACAAAATAACATGTATTCTCACACAATAAAAAGCATATCTGTCTTTTTCTGCCTTTCACAGAAACAGAGAAATCAGAGGGTACATTTAGAACAAAGTCAAGAACCATTAATTGCAATCAATCCAAAAAAGACAACCAAAACCCATGAACTGAGATTGTTTTTACACATTCCTCCATACTAAAGACTTACGAGCCAGTAGCAAATACATCATCAACCCCTGTGAATAATGGGCAAGCACAACACTCTCTTACACTTACAGGGATCATTCACACTGCAGATGTGTGTTTTTAATCAATCCACATCATATTCAGACCTATATAACATGCCTTAGTTCTGTGCTAACTCATTTGGGAAAAAAGATTTTTACATATTCAACAAAACCTCTGATGTTTCTCAGGCTGAATGCAGATAAAGTATTGGATTATGAAGACATTAATATGGATTCTGTGTGATTACATTTTCAATGGCTAAATGATCCGCTGAAAGTATCTTAACTGAGTTTCCTGTCGACACGTGATTAAAATGAATGCACAGCTTCAGAGGTTAAATCAGCACAATGCAATTTGTAGTTCTTTCCATCACATGTAACCTCCAGTTACATGTGAGGGTACAAGCTTCTCTTTCAGTGTATTTTAAAGACACTTAGACATTTTGATACAATCCCAATACATTCTAGTGGTTACAACAGTTTAGTAATTCTCTCCTTTTCTTTAAAAAAATGAGGGTGATAAAACCCTGAAACCTCACATCAAGTCTGTGGGCCTGTAGTTAGAGACATGCGTGAAAGGCCAGACTGAAGACTGAATGCATCTCTCACAACTAAAAGCCTCTAGTAATTACAAACCTTTATGCAATCATTTTTACACTGTATACAAAATTGGCACGCGCTAACGAGGAAAAATAGGTTAATAAGCCAACGACAAATGATATCAAAACAACAAAAAGCATAAATGTGTGTAACTGTGGCTTGTTCGAAGGGTGATACGATAGTGGACAAAAAGCAGAAATGAAAAGAGGCAGACGTCAGCCTTCAGGACTGCACCGACGTTCCCAATCTACGACTCTGTCTTTTTTTTGTTTTTCTTTAGGAAGGAAGGAGTGCGGAACTTCTTTTTCTTTTTGGAGGGTGATTTGCTGGGAGACTCGTCACCTTCATGGTCGCCTGTGTCAGCGGCGTCAGCGGCATCAGCGGCATCAGCGGCATCAGCGGCATCAGCAGCATCAGCAGCATCAGCAGCATCAGCAGCATCAGCAGCAGCGACATCAGCGACATCAGCAGCTTCCTCGCCCTCGGCTGCATCCACGTCTGCGATGGCAGGGGCGGAGGCGGGTTCTTCAGCAGGAAGCGCTGGGGCGTCGGAGGGGTCGTCGGGCGTTAAATCGGGAAGGGTCTGTCTCAGGGTGGCTGCATCACTCTCGTCCTTAAAGGTTTGTTCAGGCAAGGACTCTGGTGGAGGGGAAGATGGAAAGATATTGATCTCAGAGGACAAACGGATGGAACTGTGCTGCTGAGCGTACACATCGGCAAGGATAATACAGACTAACCACCGGATCAGCTGGAACATCCACATGATTTTCTACTGAACAAGCCTCCACAACCATGCTGTCTTAGTTCAGAGCATCTATGAGACTGATACACAGAAATCATTTAAAGACATCGTCTCTGAGCTACACAAAAATATAATTAAGTGCTCTTCAGTTTAAAAGAGCCTTAGAGAACAAGAGATGAACGTTTCCAGAGGCAACCCTTCTACTAAAAGGACATTTCTAAAAACAAGCTCAACTAAATTAATCCACCTGACATCTCAAAAGCCAAACCAAGTTTCATTATTTCTATTAAAAAGCAAACACTGCTTATCTTATCTTTACTCATCACATTTGTAATGCATGACAAGAAACATTAAAAAATATCTTCATAATCAGGGTTTTATTCTTTCACTGCATTTTGGTTTTACCTTCATTTCACCAGGGAAATCTTAATGAGTGCAGTTCCCTTGCTCATGTGCACCCTGTGTACAAACAAACAAAAGTGAAAGTCTTCAAAACAATATTCAAATACTTGAATATTTGTTTTGGTTGTAATTAAAAAAAGCCACACAAGTGAGTTTACAGCTCAGAGAGGTGATAAAAGGTAAATGAAGTCAAAGCTGGCAAAGCTCTAAAGGAGCAATAACTTAAATTAGTTTGGACTTGTCAAAACCAATATTAGGGATTGGTAATGATATGATAAAGAAATATAATGGCTTGATATTATATACACTGATACAGCTTAAATATAAAGTTAATAATTTAGGTCACTAGGGGTCTCTCAATCATAATAAAATGGATCATGGGATTTGTTGTCTTTACCACCATTGCCAATGAA